TATTAATAATAACTTAAAACTATAATTATAACTAAAGATAGAGTTAGATTTAAAGTTAAGATAATAATTAATTAAATATTTTTATAATATATAAAGACTTTATTAAATTTAAAAAATATATTATAATTAACTAATAAAAATATAAACCTAATTAAATCTTATATATTAAAAAAGAAATAATATTTAAAATAGTTAATAATATAATCTTTTATTTTATATATTTATATTATAATATAATATTTTAAGCTTTATTTATATATATTATAAATAATTTTAAAAAATAAATAAAAGAAAATTTTACTATTACTTACCTAATCTTCTTATAAAGATTTTAAGATTAGATTTATAAATATAATATATATATATAAAGATAAGTAAAATACCTAATTATAAGAGTATTATATAACCTTTATAAATAAAATAAACCTATAAATTAAGAGGATAATTATCTTTTTATAATTAAGCTTAGAAGATAAGAAGAAGAGGTAAGAATTATAGGTAATATTACTATAAGTAAAGTAATAAGGTAATAAAAGCCTAAAAATAAGGATTAAAAATATTTACTAATAATATAAATACCTTAGATATTATAGCCTTTACTAGTTAATATATTAAAAAAGCTTAAATAGCTTTTAAAAAGTTATTTTAATTATAAGAAATATATAAATAAAAGAGATAAATTTTTATATATAAAACTTAATATCTTTTATAATAAATATTTTTACCTTAAGATACTTAATATAATATAAATAAAGATATTATTAATTATATTTACTAATATTATAATAAAATATTATATAATATAACTATTTATTTTTAACCTTAATTATAATAGTCTTATTTTTTAATTTAAGTAATACTTTAAATTACTTATAATAATAAAAAGATATTATATAGAATAATAATCTCTTAAGCTCTAGAAAACTATTAATAATAACCTAAAGAAGCCTCTAATAAAATATATTAATATTTTTATTAAATAAATCTAAAAGTTATATTATAGTTTTAAGTATAAAAAAGGTAATAATAATATAGAAAAAAGAGATATATTATATAATATAATTTTTAATATTAGAGCTTACTTAGTTACTTTAATAAATCTAAAAATAATATTTAATATTTTTATTATTAAAATTAAGTTAGTAGTTAATATTTATATAAGAAATAAAAAATTAGAGAATTAAGCTATTTTTATTATTAACTATAAATATTAAACTTAACTAAATTATAATAACTACTATCTTACTTTTAGCTATAATAGATAATATTAATAGTTTTTAAGGAATTAGTCTAGCTAATTTAAAAATTAATTAAAGAAATATTATATATATAGTAAGCCTAGCTATTAGTTAAATTATTATTTTAACTATAAATATAAAACTTCTTATAATACTTAATTTTAAAAGAAAATCTATTATAACCTTCTAATAAATAAGAAATTCTAAGTCTTTCTAATTAAATTTAAAGATAAGGAAAAAGGACTTAATAAAGCTGATAAATTACTTATAAATATATTTTACTAATACTTTTAATAATAATAATAAAGGTAATAATAATAAAAAAAGAAGAATTACTAATAAAATATTTCCTTATATTATTAATAATTATAACTAATAATTTCTTTATAACTAATATACTTATCTTAAAAGAGGTTACTAAGGTCCTTATTAATATATTTATATATTATACCTTATTAGCTAACTAACTAAATCTCCCTAATAATAACCTTATAATTCCTACCTTAAGACCTACTAGTTCTTATTTAAAATATAATAATATTTATATATTAGCTTTAAGATATTATAAGTAAGTATTCTAAGATATTATACCTAATACTAGTACTTTTAGTAATTTAATAATTAAAATATTATAGGTTAAAGCCTTATTATATTTAATATTATATCTAAAAATTAAAGATACCTTTACTTTTATTATTAAATTTAATACTAGCTTAATAATATTAAAAAGTAAAGTTTATATATTAATAAGCTTTAATAATATTAAATTTAAAGTTTTATCTATATTAATACTTTTTTTATTTTTATTAACTAATATAAATAAAATAAATATTATATTTAATAACCTCTAAAACCTATTAATCTAAAATAATAGATAAGTACTAATTATAAAATAATAAGGCTATTTATAATAATAAATTAATATTACT